TGACGAAGAGTAACTGAAAAGTGGCATTAGAGGCGCATTGTCGGTCTTTAGAATTTTTTCGGAGATTGAATCATGCTACGATTAGATGGCCGCCGGGATTTGGTATAGTGGGCAGGTTGGTAGAAAATTAAAATGAATTGAATATTGCTGTCCAAGTAGAATATAATAACTATATATATATATTAGAAGAAGAAGAAAAATTGAATTAATCTATAAACAATGCATGTCTTTGCTCACATATTCATCTATGTGATAAAATGATGTCAAAATAAAAAAAAATTGGTGTAGACAGACTAAAAGTTCAAAAAAGGTGCAAAAGAAGAACAAATTTTAAGTCATATCATTGGGCAAGAGTTTTAATTTATTTTGGTCTTTTTTTGAGCTTTTAGTCTGTCCACACCAAGTGATCAAACATTTACCTCTAATTCAGAAAAAAAATTGTGACTACTTCCATATATAATAAAAAGTAAATATTAAAAATAAAAAAAAATAATGAGAAAAATAAGAGGTAAAAATGCTATTGTCTTTAATAAATGCTTATTACAAAAAAATATAAAAGTGAAAATATTAAATGATTTTTTTTTACTATTAACTTGGTATTTAAACTATGAAGCAATCAAATCTATTGCTTTTTTGAGTTTCTATCACTTGCTTTACCTTGATTAATATAAAAGTCAGATTTTGAAAATTTTTATCACTTTATTTTGTTGAGAGTCGCGACTGAAAATAATATGCTTGAATAAAGCAATAACTATTATAGCTTCTTTATTTAATATATTAATCATTTTGTATGATTAGTATAAAAACATAACATTTGCCAGAACTATAAAGATAATACTAATCTATTAATTGTTCCCGCATAATGCATGGAATTATTAATCATTGAAAGATATAATCCTACTAAAATATATAATCTTTACCAATTTTTTTTAAAAAAAGTCAAAAGATTCTATCATGATATATAAACCAAAAAAAACACAAACATTTACTCTATTGAGAATTGAACGCCGGATCTAATTTGAAGTAGTAACAGCGCTTACCACTTAACCTAAATATAAGTAAGGTTAAACAAAAATAAAAAATGTATATGTCCGACACAAATGTTGGTGCTTGCAAAATATGACATGTTTACTCTATTGCTCTGTCTAATAATTTTCATGATATGTCTTTGATGTCACCGTACTTTTATAATATATATTATATTAGTAGCTAATTTAGTTGAAAAATTAAAATATTATAATAAGCCCAATATATGTTTCTTTTTTTTAAAAATATAGGTTTGAGGATTATGTTGTGCATCTATAAAGAGAGATTACTATGGCAGGACTTTGTGTTAGACAATGGCTGTTTGGTCTAGAACTGAATATTTAAAGATATACTAAAAGTAAGAATTTTTAAAAATTATGTGTGATAGGATGGGGTCATTTTCATTGAAGAAGGTGTTGAAGGTATAAGTATATAGATATCATGTGCATGCGAAAGTAAAAAGACAGTTCTGAGAATAGTAGTATATGTCACTTCAGATATAAAAGAACAGAGTATATGGGTTCCGAGTGCTGAAGTTTGATTATATGGTTATTATTTTTATTTTTATTTTTCAGTAGTGATAAAATAAGAAATATAGTATGATTGGTATTGGCGACTTTGAAAGCAGTGCGAAGTTGTTGTTGGTACAGGGTTGAAAAAAGAAAAGAATAGAGTGGCGATGACTGTCGACTTTGAGAGCAGTGCGAAGTTGTTGTTAGTACAGGGTTGAAAAAAGAAAACAATAGAGTGGCGATGACTGTCGCCTTTGAGAGCAGTGCGAAGTTGTTGTTAGTACAGGGTTGAAAAAAGAAAACAATAGAGTGGCGATGACTGTCGCCTTTGAACGCAGTGCGAAGTTGTTGTTAGTACAGGGTTGAAAAAAGAAAACAATAGAGTGGCGATGACTGTCGCCTTTGAGAGCAGTGCGAAGTTGTTGTTAGTACAGGGTTGAAAAAAGAAAACAATAGAGTGGCAATGACTGTCGCCTTTGAGAGCAGTGCGAAGTTGTTGTTAGTACAGGGTTGAAAAAAGAAAACAATAGAGTGGCGATGACTGTCGCCTTTGAGAGCAGTGCGAAGTTGTTGTTAGTACAGGGTTGAAAAAAGAAAACAATAGAGTGGCGATGACTGTCGCCTTTGAGAGCAGTGCAAAGTTGTTGTTAGTACAGGGTTGAAAAAAGAAAACAATAGAGTGGCGATGACTGTCGCCTTTGAACGCAGTGCGAAGTTGTTGTTAGTACAGGGTTGAAAAAAAGAAAACAATAGAGTGGCGATGACTGCCGACTTTGAGAGCAGTGCGAAGTTTATAGGG